TTCCACTCAACAAGACACACACTGGACTGACTGCGGTGTCAAATTTATCTTGTAAGTTGGCAACCCTCCAAACCACGGCTTTTAGCGCACCGCGATAATTTCAACCACATCAGATTGTTTATAGTGAGGAAAGAAATGAGCTGAGGGTCGCCCTTCCTCTGTCCCCCACCGCTAGCAACAGACCACCACCTAGCTGATAGGTTGCCTCAGGTGTATTTACTATCCACAGAATGCAAAATAAACATAGTTTTCGATCTTACGGTGCGGCTGGACTGCATAAGTTTCAATTTAGGGGTGCCGCGGTTACTGGTGCTGCGCCTACGCCTTGGATCAAACCGCAAATTTCGTCGTATGTGTATGCAGTCAGAAGATGCCGTCTACTTAGTAAATATCTACATTGCCCTGGACGTGGGTGGCGGGGGAGATGTTGCCTACCTCCATGTGACTGTTGGCAGCAGCAGCAAACATACAGCTATACGCAGTGTGTTGCCAGTCTCCCCCATGCTGCGTTCCTTTCTTGTCCTCTGTGACCTCAAATTCGCTCGCCGCATCTCGGTGTCATGTCCGCCGGTTTACTTGGTGCACACACACATTGACCTGCTTTCCAAGTCTGCCCCCCCCCCACCACTAAACTGCCCTCGACCGCAGGGTTTCGCCATTAGCGGTATATCGCTCACTCTTCTCCTGCATCAGCTCTCCCCCGCCCCCCGAATCTGGTCTTACCACAGTCTGGTGGAAGACAAGTTTATTACTCCTCTTCTCCTCTCCTTCGGTTGTCGGTTTCGCCTTTCCGTGACCCCAGACGCGATGCAGGAGGCAACGTTAGATTAATGTGTGGGGCTGTGTGTCTGTTCATCCCCCCCCCCTTCCCTCCCAATCGGCGCCGGCATGATATCTCTAACAGGAATGCACGCAAATCAGTACTCTGCGGTCTTGGCCGACTAAGTGTTTGCTTGAACATCGCGCGCACCGTCCTCTTCCATCATTTTGTCCATTTCGCTGCGATCTTCGATATCGAGTGTTTTTTGCCCTCATGCAACCTAACTGGACTTTAGTGACTGTGATTGGACCGTCTTTCGGGTAGTTTTATTTTTTTCCTCAAAGAGAGGACACTGAGGGCTGTCGTCTGGGAGAGAAGATCTGCCAGAACTTACTACATGAGCGCCGCTCGTCTATCACAGTGACTTCCCCACGACAAGGCACGATGGTAGGAACGCCCACTCTCCACTTAGTACAGGGCGCCCCGACTTTGTCATGACACTGGAACCAGGTGAGGGAGGAGGGGAGCTTGCGGTAGATGCTGTAGTGTGCGAGTCACTTATAGAATCGCAAGAGCCGGCGGGTTCGAATTTAGACACCGTATTCGGTGTTGAACAGACCGTGGGTGCAGAAGTTGGATGCCTTGCTCTCCTGACTATATCCTAAACCAGTCAACAATCAGACAAGTGAAAAATACTGATATTGAGTAACGTATACTGGCAGGACACAATGTATTAACACGTTACGTAGTGGACAAGGGAGTATCAAGGAATGGATACTGTTCAGTGGGGACGGGAATGAGGGGAAGAAACCTCAACGATGTCACTGGGGATCGTCATTCGGTATAACTTCCACGGCTTTCGCCCTCTGTTCTGATGGCTCACCCTGGTTCTTAACTGGAACAGATAAAAGAAGGACAAAAGCACAACACAGTCACGTTCACGCCTCGAACACCGCGGCAAAAATCAATCCTCCTTCTAACGTCAAAATGAGAGGTTTTCTCCCATCTACTATGATGCAGCGAAGGTCTATTAGCACTACAAGCTAAATAACGTGCAAGGCAGCACGTTTTGGAGTACACGATGGACCTAGTCGAAATCGACGGTCAAGCGGTCGGTTTCAATAAATAGGTGGACGTGGACCTTGCAGGCGTAACTTGACATATCGGCTTCTTATAGGATTTCCCCAATCCAAGCCATGGCGTTTTAACGAAGTAATGACTTTTACTTAAGCATTATTCCTGTCAATTATAGCTTTAAGTAAGTGTTTTGGCTCCTCAGGCCCTCTGATGTCACCCAGTTCTCCAACACTAGATAGTCACTTAGTTCTGGTTTGTATATTTTTTCCACATTCTGGGGATAGGTTTTGTGTGGATAGAGTTGAAGGCGTTTCCCCTCCTCAAGGAAATAAAAAACGTATTAGGAGGAGCGTAGAATTGGGCAGCCGTCAAACATAGAATCCGGCTTTCATTTGGAAGGAACATCTTTTCGATCGATAATTCAACCGCCACATACGATTGTGTTCGTCAGTGCTACACGAATTGGGTAGTTTCTTAGGCAAAACTGTCTTGTAGGGTCCCCTAACTACATATTCCCTCCGCCTAACTGTCTAAAGTATTTTGTGGTCAAACATTTAGTTCTTGGTTAGTGAATGTAAATGAATATTTAATTGTGGTAGAAGTGATCAAAAATTATTAAATTAAAGAAAATTACGTTTTTTTCACTGTACTAAGTAGAGTAAAATCCATCAACATAAACTCCTGTTGCTCAGGATACTAATGCCAACTGCGGAAAATTCAAACTTTTCTTGGCGGAATTTAACGAAAAGAAGGGAAAGTCGGATTACTGCAAAATGCAAAAGTAGGGTATTGTTATAAGTCAAAGGCAAAAGGGACCTCTAAAGACAGTCCCGCCTCTTCTTACACGCATTGTTTCCAGGTCGTGGGTGGCACGCGTAGACGGACTGTTTACCATCGTCATCCACTGTGCCCTTTCCCCTCCCGCCCCCCCCCTCCGATCGTCTTGCCAGGTGAGCAAAGTGGACTAGGCAAGAGAGGGGGAGAAAGAGAAAGAGAGAGGAAGGTAGACGCAGCACAGGTCTACCCCACTATGAACGAACTCTCATCCAAGTCCCCCTTGCAGTCACCTCGCGGGGGGGGGAGGGGGGGCGGCGGTGGATATTGTCACTTGAGACAGCCAAACTGCCGGTTATCCGGCGCCCGATAAGTATGGCATGTCTTACGACGTCTTCTTTCCATTGCACTCTTCAGTAAGTACACAAACTGGTGATAGAAAAGCCGTATATATCTCGAAAAATAGTTGATTTTTCCTCTGACTTCTAATTCCGTTTTGGCATGACTGTGTCCTTTTCCTTAGACTAATTTATCAGTAGTGCTCATGATGCTGCTGAATGGACACTCACACTTTACCCATTCACCGATGCCTTTCTCAACTACCCGATGTGACCCTCTGAGGCACCAGCGTCTTTTGTGCTCATGTGAATACTTCAAGATATACACCAGGGGTATTTGTTAATGTTATATGCTGAATCACATAACTGGCTCTACGTGCGCCTTATTTTTTCCGCCCTACCAGCCCACGAGGACGGGATTTGGTGTGTCGCGTGGCAACGTCGCGAGACCGATGGCAAGGAGTTTGTCATCACTGGCGCCCTAGACAACTCCATCAAGCTCTGGAACTGGTGCGTAACCTCCTGCTTTATCACTTTTTAACCCTCTCTCCCCTCTCGGCTTCCGACCGTCAGTTTGCATTGAACTAGCGGCAGGACTGTCTTTAGAGGTCCTTTTTACCTTTGACTTATAACAATAACCTACTTTTATATTTTGCGGTAATCCGACTTTCCTTTTTTCGTTAAATTCCGTCAATATAAGGTGGAATTGCCATCAGTAGGCATCAGTTGCTTGAGGAACAGGAGTTTATGTTGATGGATTTGATTCTATTTATTACACTGAAACAAATGTAAGTTTAGTTGACCCAATTGTGAAAAAACTGGCGGCATTCGGCGGGATTTGAACCCACATACTATGCGGTTTCAAATCCCGCCGAATGCCGCGAGTTTTTTTTACAATTTGGTCAACTAAATTAAGCAAATCTGTCAAACCTCCTAAATAATTAAGTGAGCCTAGTAGTCATTCTGGTGGATTGTAGATGATTGTTTAGGAAATCCTGCTTGGGCAGTCAGCTTGTTGCTCCGTATTGGTGGATTCCATACGAGCGGTAAAGTTGGGCGGGTAAAATCGATACCCAAGTGTGATTAAATTCATGGCGCAAGGTGGGGCGTTTGTAGCTCAACTAGTAGAGCATTGGCTTCGCGTAAAGGCCTTCCCTACTATACGGGCTCAAGTCCCGCCGAATGCCACGAGTTCTTCACAATTGGGTCAACTAAATTAAGAAAATCTGCTCAACCTCCCAACTAAATAAAAATACAATTTTTTAAGTCAATATTTTTGATAATTTCCAGGACAATCCGATATTCATTTCAAGTTAATAATCAATAATTAAATTTTTGGTCACAAAATGCGTTAGACTTTTGGGTAGGAGACGGAATAGATATTTTGGGGGGCCCTACAAAACAGTTTTGTCGAACTAGCTGCTTTGCATCGTTCAAAGAACTGCCCACTACTTC